GGATTAAAGTGCAGGACTACGTCCCGTCATCTCGTCACTTGTCTAATCAGTAGAAAGTTTATTACCCTGATCTGCATTCACCAAGGACTCCAAGAGTTCGGATAACAGTCAAACCATCTACAAAATCCCCGGTTGATATTTTCTACAACATGTATCGAGAAAGGTGAATTCTACTACAAGGTTACTGCCATATTCTCATCGTACAATCTATTGATGTCAGGTGTTCTCATACCCTTAGCAGAGAAAAATATCCAAATTACTGCTCCAACGAAAATTCCCCAATGAAGTCGCCAAGCTTCTCGGGATTCCCCAAGCGGATTACAGAGTTTCCCTTCCCCAACGGAAACATTCTGAATAAAGCAGATTCACATCTAGAAACGGTTCAGGTACGATCCAAATGCGGATGTCATCTTGACACTCACTCCATATTCTCATATAGAAACGGTTCATGTACGATCCAGAGATGGATGTCATCCTGATACTTATTCAGATTCTCTTCAAATACAGTTCAGATACGATCCAAAGACGGATGTCATTGTGACACTTATTTCAACACATAGATTCATCCATAAAGCCTCCGTAGGTACTTTCTCCAGCAGGTACAGGGGAAAAAAATTAAAAAACCATGTTAATTCCGACAGTTACTCCTTCCGACAGGTACAGGGGCAGGGACAGCTTTGAAACGAGGTCACCATTACATGTGATCCCGTGACGTCTACACTCCCCACAGAGTAGAGGCAACCAAAGCTTTGACACCGGCTTCCCCAAACATGAGCTACTCTACCCAACAAAGTTCCCTCAGAGAGCTGACATCTATATTCCCCATCCGAATTTTATAATCGCTAGCGGTTCATAATGTTATCTCCCAAGCAGAGTTTATTTCTCTGAATACAGAAGCTCAATCCCCAACTGAGTTTATTTCTCCAGCTACGGAAGTTCATCCCTCAGCGGAGTTTATTTCTCCTAATCGGCAAAATCTTCCAGCAAAGCATCTCCTCTCTCAAATAGAGTTATTCCCCAGCAGAGTTATTCAAAAGCAGAGTCTCTCCCCGGCAGAATATTCACAAACAGAAAGGAGTAAATCCACGGCATAGCCATCTCCATTCACCATCCCCCGCGGAAGTAGAAGAACAACTTTTTCTACAATGGTCAGGAATTTAATTTCCAGTACTCTCCAGCAGCAGTCAGGGATTTATTTTCCCAGACTCGGATATGTCACAATAGAATTTCATGTTCATACATCATGTCGTGCACATACATATTACATACAGCATAATCTTTTTTATTTTGAGAACATCATCACACAATGCATTTCATGCATTGCATATAATTAATCTTGTACCTTTTCAGGAAAGATGGTTATCATCAACAATTCCAACATTTCAAGATTAAATTTGTGAAGCTATACATGTCATATCTGCAGACAACTAATGGAAAATCAGTTCTCGAAACCAAACGGGTCAACTAATCTACATGATCAAATGAGGCAGCCCTACTACCCAGGCTTTTATTTCGAAGTAACCCTACTATCCAGGTTCCTTCTCACAACCCTACTACCCAGGATTTAGTTCGAAGTAACCCTACTACCCAGGTTCCTTCTCATAGCCCTACTACCCAGGATTTATTCCGAAGTAACCCTACTACCCCGGTTCCTTCTCACAGCCCTACTACCCAGGCTTTATTCCGAAGTAACCCTACTACCCAGGTTCCTTCTCATAGCCCTACTACCAGGCTTTTATTCCGACGTAACCCTACTACCCAGATTCCTTCTCACATCCCTACTACCCAGGATTTATTCTGAAGTAACCCTACTACCCAGGTTCCTTCTCATAGCCCTACTACCCAAGATTTATTCTGAAGTAACCCTACTACCCAGGTTCCTTCTCATAGCCCTACTACCTAGGCTTTTATTTCGAAGTAACCCTACTACACAGGTTCCTTCTCACAGCCCTACCACCCAGGCTTTATTCTGAAGCAGCCCTATTACCCAGGCTTTATTTCGAAGTAACCCTGCTACCCAGGTTCCTTCTCATAGCCCTACTACCCAGGATTTTGTTCCAAAGTAGCCCTACTATCCATGCTTCATTTCGAAGTAACCCTACTACCCAGGTTCCTTCTCATAGCCCTACTATCCAGGCTCCTTTTCATGAATTACCTGATGCAGTTTTGCATGGACTTATCCCGAGAAAGCCCTATACAGGTTCCTTCTCTTTTACCTCCAGACAACAGTTTCACTAGTGCAGAAATGACTTTTTACATCGGATGAAATTGACTTTTTACATCGGTTCTGGGTCCGATGTAAAGTCAGGCGATATAGTAAATCAGGTACTTTTTACATCGGTTCTGGGACCGATGTAAAAAGTCTCTTTTTTACATCGGTTATAATATAAGAATGATGTAAGAAACAGTTATGACAATATTTTAAAAAAATTGATCCAATTTTTTACATCGGTTGGAAGTAATAACCGATGTAAAAAGTCCCTAGTGACGCTACTTTTTACATCAGTTATTACTCCCAACCGATGTAAAAAGTCCCTTTTTGAAAGTTTTTACATCAGTTTTGAGTAATAACCGATGTAAAATGTATGAAATTTTTTGGGAATAAATTATTTATTTTCTGGATGTTTCCCTGTACAAAAATAATTTATACCCCATTTTTTCATATTTTTCCAATATCACACAAAATATATTTATGTCGCTATTTAGATTTCATATCTTTCCAACATCACATAGACCACATCTAGGTCGATGTTTTCATATTTTTCACAACAAACTTACAAATTGAACAATTGTATTGCAAACTTGTATTGTATTACAACAAACAAACTTACAATTACAAATTCTTCACAAAATATACAAAAATATTCAACTATTTATAAGTCTTTTTCAAAACTTACAATTACATATTATTCACAAAATATACAAAAATATTCAACTATTTCTAAGTTTCCAAACTTGAATTACCAATATAAAATTTTCGGTAGACAACACCAAAATCACATTGCCTGACAATAAATAATAACAATTAACATCAGTAAAAAAAAATCAAGAAACTCAATACATGTGCAAAAACCACATGTATTGTGCAAAAATCACAACTTAGACAATTCTATAAAACTCACCAAGATAAACTTAATTTTCATGTAACTCAAAGAAACATTTTGCCCAACGGAGTCGCAAATCATACAAATCATCTGTACAACCAATCCACCTATAATTAATATTATAACATCAAATCAACTATAGTGAAATCTCTTCAATCATGTTATAGCTTCCCACAAATGTAATGAAAATTTGGAAAATAATACCTTCTGGTGATAAAAGAAAACTCTAAAAACCACTGCCCACATATCAGTTGTTAGAAGTGATAGGTTAAACATTGTTGATCCACTCAACTGCATGACACAAAATTCCACTCTGTTGTAATATTCTAAATAATATCATATTGTCGCAAAAAGAGACAGCCGTCTTAAGTTTTTAGAGGTTCTGTATAGGTTAATTGAGACTCTATTTAGCCACAATTTAATAATATTTAATAGTAAAAAATTGAGACTATGTGTTATAGTCCATCTTACACGACCCCAAGCCTCAAAGACGACCTATGTCACAAACAAGTTCACGAGAAGGAAACTAACCTTAAGAACAAAGGGAGCAAATGAGTAAAAGATGAAGCTTGACACACCATAGCTAGCAAAAGCAAGTACCTGTTAAGGAATTTTGATATATAGTATAAACATTCAATTATATACAAATATGAAATTTCAGTGTTTTTGTACTATACTTAAAATGATATGAGAATTGACCACTTACAATATCTGTAGACCATTTGATTGATTCCAAAGTCTTCAATTCTAAAATAGATCTGTCAAATAATGGAGTAATGGAAGAAACTAAACCAAATTTAAATTTTTATTATTAGGTTTCCTAATTCTCACCAAATTAGAATAATAAGAAGGATACACTTCAACCGCGGTAACTAGGAATCCATAAACACCGAGCATTGCAACTACTTCAACACGATCTTTTTTCTTAACACAAAATTCCTGCATTTTATAACACCATATTATATCGAGTTAGATTATTCATTATTCCGCAACATAAATGATTAGTAGCACTGCATCGTGTCAAAGATCATTTTATTTGTAAGTATTATGTTGTATATTAAATTCATAGTATTAGAACTTTTAAGTTTTCTCGACATACATTTAGGCAACCTTAGGATTCTAGTTTCTTGTAATAAATTTAAAGCTTGACTTTTGAAGGGTTGTGATATGGATTATTGTTTATATATTCTCTGAAATATCTTACACCTGTTTTTTTGTACTTGTTTTTCTAGTTACTATTGAATCAACTGGAGCATTACCGCCTGATGTGCTATTTACCGAAGCCGTGAAGATTCTGGAAGATAAGTGTGAACGAGTTATTACAGAGCTTTCTTGATTATTCTATTTTCAATGTTTTTAAATGAATGATAAATTAAGATGTTGTACATGATCAATTCAGTTATTATTTGATTTTCCATGAACAAATATATAACTTGTGATATGAAATCATGTAGTTTGGATGTGCATGTTACATGTCTGCACAGACATGATCAGTTTTGTTTGTACTGTCCACAACTTATTGGCCTAACATAATTGATTTTATGATAAGGGAATGAATGCATTGAATGACCCCAGTTTGAAAAGCAAGATTATCCATGTAAAGTGGTTTGATCACAAATCAAGCAATGCTTTTGAAAATGTACAAAGAATTTGAACCTGACTGTTTGTTGATTATTTTAGTTTTGACCACATTAAAGATTGAACTGAGTGGTTCACTCCCCATTAAGTTGTTCATTCCCACAATCTCCAGTACCTCTAAAGACATGAATTCCACCTTTGGTGAAGCTCTCCAAACAATCATATGAAGATCTTTTCTGCCATCACCACCACCACCATGACCCTTTTCTTATTAGCCAAAGGTGAGGAGTAGGGTACCCATTTCCACCATTTACATTATTAGCAACCACCATTGACTCCACCAACACCATTTTCCTCATCAAGACCCAAACTTCCAAAGTTAGATTGTCTAGGACTCACGTTCCTTTCATTTACCATCGAATAAAAATCAGCATGATTAAAACTAGACCCTCTTGGTGTAGGATTTCTAGAAGATTGAAGAGAATAAAAATCAGCATGATTAAAACTAGACCCTCACTGTCCAACAATCTAGTAATGTTACACTTGTAATTGTACTGTACTGATATGCTTTGATAACTGCATACAAAATCATCAACCAGAATTCAACTTAAAGTGTGAGACCAGTGTTGTAGGACGCCTTGCACACCATCAAAGATGGCCCTAGTAATAGCAATACATAAGCACTTATAACTTATATGGTAAGCATGTATGCTATATGCGGTTAACTTTTTTATCCAAACATGACCTAAAGCACATACCTTCACCTCCGCGACCAATGATCAACAGCAGTCAGCGCACAAGGAATCACCCATCCACACAATTTTCCCAAATGAGGATAATCAATCTATGACAACACAATTCAAATCCCAACATCATCAATATCTTAGAATACACATAACACAGGAAAAAAACCATCAAACACTAGTACCTGAGTAACAAACCATCTAAGCTGATGAGCAGCAAGAATCGCAAACCCAACGGGAACTCTAGCAGACGCGGCAGAGAACTCATCACTCTCCTCAGACTTATCAATTGCACTCTCCTTAATTCCATCTTTCAGAAAAGGAAGTACTTCAGGCAACAATTCCAGAAGCAACCTCTTCTGTACAGGAACCAAATTACAATCCAAACCGAACTCTTCCACCTTCTGAGAGTTCCTATCATCGAAGACATTGAGGTACGCTTGGGAGAGCTCGAAAAAGGAAGCAGTTGCAAGGGAGGAAAGGTGATCGGGGATCCATGAGAGAAACTCTGAATTGGCGTGTGTGGAAGAGGATAACAAAGCACATGCTAGAGCGAAGTCTTTGATGGAAGCGTTGATGGTGGAATTTGTGGAAGTGAGAAGGGGTTCGAGAAAGGCTTTGACGGAGATGTTGGAGGTTTTGTGAGAAGTGTATGGAGTTGCGGCGAGAGAGTTTGCGATTGAATTCGATAACCTAATCAGGTGGAATCAAATGGAAAATTCACTGTGAGGAACGAATGTTGAGTGAGAGAGAAATAGAGATGGAGAGAGAGGTGTCTTACCGGAGGAGAGTGTCTCGGAGAGTTGAGACTGATGATTCCGACATTGGCTACTGATTAGGGTTGCGCTTCCAACACCGGCGGGAATTTTCCGACAACAATGACACCGTAACTGGTTTTGCCGAGTTGGCACTTGGAGCGATTTTAGAAAGAAACACTACTATTTCATGAATTTAATAATATGAATAATTTATATTTTCAGATAATAATTAAGTTAATATTGTTATTTCAAATATTACACATGAGAGATACAATATTTTTTACATCGGTGGAAAAAGGCCCGATGCAAGCGTGTTATACTTTTTTACATCGGTTGAAACAAAGGACCGATGTAATGATTTGGTACGTTGCAGTTTTTACATCGGTGGAAACACAGGACCGATGCAAACGTGTTTTTATGATGTTTTTTACATCGGTTGGTAGGTGGCCCGATGCAAGCGTGTTTTTATGGGTTTTTTACATCGGTTTAAAATATGCCAAGATGTAATTTTTTTAATATATTTTATATATTAACAATCTGCCTGTGAACCTTTTACATCGGTTTTTAGTTAACCCGATGTAATATCTTGCTTGTTTTTTATTTACATTTTTGCCACCTTGTTTCTTATTTACAAAAACGCCACCGTATTTTTTTCTGAAAACCGTTTACATCGGTGGATGAGATTGCCCGATATAATAGGTAGCGGAAAATATATTTTTTTCTTATTTTTTATATCATTGCAAATAAATACCTGATGTAAAATGTTTTTAATGGTATTTTTTGCATCATATATTTTGATACCTGATGTAAAAACCTTTTCTCAAATGTCTTTTTTTTAGTAGTGTTTACAACACTGTAAAACCTAGACCCGACCAGATACGATCAATTTCATATTCCCCAGTAAGTTGCTGTGAAGCCTGGAATACGACCAGATAATAGCTTACTTTTGTCTCATTAATCAAGAGTTAATTCTCCAATAGAATAACGGACAACTGAAGCTCCTAGACTCTATTCCCCAAGACAGAGACCAACATTCCTCAGCAGAGTCCTCCCTAACAACAGGAACAGGAATTCCCACGAAGGAATATCTCACAAAATCATTATTATTCTGGATGGCATCTTTAAACCCATCTCCGATGACTCTCTATCACATTCTTAGGATGGCATCTTTAAGCCCATCTCCGACTACTTTCAGTCATCTTCTCCAAATGGCATTTGTAAGCCCATTCTCGACGTCATCAACCATCAGTATTACTTCATGCGAGTGCAAATTTCTGGGCACTCTAGTGTTTAATCATCTTCCACCCTCAGATCACGAAAGGCAGACAAGCCAATCTAAATCCTTAGGTTTAAGAAGATTGAACAGAGGCATTTGTTGTACCCCAAAATTTTCCCTCCCATTTTCACACAAAACATACTCCTAGAGATCCTTAATTGCTCAATTTGACTAAGGATTGACCAGACAAATCCTCTTCTTAAGATAATAAGCCTCAAACTAGGGTTTCACTCCTCATCAAGATGTATGAGCTTCAAATACTTCAAATGGTTTACATTTCCCCAATATGTCCTCAAGATCATCTATGCCAAGTTGCATGCCTTACACAACAAGTTTTCTCAATCAACTGTTCAAATGCTTGAAAATCAATTATACTAGGTCAAAAGTCAACTGTGACCCACATATAGTCAAACTTCAAGATTTTTGGTCAACATCAACATTTTGAAGTGATATCCATCATTTTATCAAGGGTTGATCATGATTCCTCAAGGAATGCTCCTAATTCATCAAAACTCAAAAGTTGTTAAATTAGGGTTCATATAGGAAAAGTCAACCAAACTTTGACCAGGCATAACTTTCTCATACTTTATCAGAAATTTCTCATCCATGGCTCATTTTTAAGAAAATCCAGTTCCCTACAACTCATCTTCATCCCTAAAGTTCAAGAAATGCATCAATCAAAAGATACAAGTTCCTACATTATAGGTCATTTAAAAAAGTCAACAAAAACACCATTTGGGTCAAAGCTCCTTACATGAACATGGAAGATCCAATTGAGATTAAATTGAAAGGGTTCTTTATAGGACATACTAAGCTTTCTAAAAAGTCAAAGAACACCTTCTTAGGGTTAAAAGTGAGAGAGATGTGTATTGCTAAAGTTGACCAATTTTTGGAAATATGCATGAAGTCAACATTGATCAAAATGACTTTTTTTCCAAATGGGCCCATGTTTTCTTGTTTGAAACTTGTTCCTAAGATGGCCCATGATCCCTGAGCTTATCCACCTATTATTTCATTATTCTTATTATTTATTTTTATTTTTTATTCATTTAAATCAAAATAAATCAATTTAAATAGTGGAATAATCAAATAAAATCAAAGATTTGATTTTGTGAGCACATTATGAGTCCATGAACAGCTAGCAAATCAGGAAAATTCGTGCAAGGTCTAATTGATTGGAAAAGATCATGATTTGGTTTATTTTAGAAATAAATCATACAAGGCAACAAAATCAAATCTTTTTCAATAATTTGCAAAGATTGAATACAGTTTTGTTAACCTAATTGCTTCTATTACATATAGACAACATTTCCAAAGCATAAAAACAGGGTTTGGCCGTGTGAATTAGAAGCACAAAGCTCAAATTTTGAACAAGAGGCAATCAGATTTCCTTCTACAAGGATATTCAAGGTGTTTCAAGGCCAGCAATTCATTCCTGGAAGTATTTGGGAGCTATTTGGATCATCACCAAGCCTCAACACGCCCATAAACGCTCTACACGAGTACCACTGTTTTCCTTCCTTCTTGAAATTAATTTTTGCAATTTACGCCTGATAAATGATTTCTAATTATACATTCATGTTTGTATCATTATTTAGAATATATTTGCATATTTAATTGTGAGTTTTGATGTGTATTGGACAACATGCAATTGTTAGGGTTTAGAGTTTCTTTTTAGGGCATTTCGTTTCAGGCAAAATCAGGACCAAAGATGGATACCATTGCATTCAAGAGATCAAACCCAATTGATCTGTGTAATTAGATTTGATTTATATTGCCTAGATATGATTTTTGAGATACACAGGTTATAGCTATGGCAAACTTCCGTAGGTAAAAGTCTTTACCTAAGACAACAATCTCAGCGAAGAAGATGAAGGCGTGGCAGATCCTGAATGGCCCATTTGAATTTTTGCGCGTTTTTTATAAAAGTGACTTTTGCATATTATATAATGTATGTTATGCGTGTGTATTAACGAATGAAGCAAATGGTTCAGTGGCAAGAGGCAAGGCTTTGCAAGGCGCACGTGTAGGAGGTCAGGGGTTCGATCCCTGCCTCCTACATAATATTTTTCTCAATATCTGTTTACAGATACAGTGGTTTCATCACATGTGCATACACCATACGCCTCTATATCATCATCATTGGATCAATCTGCATCCAGATCTAGCGCCTTAAGCATGCGTGCACATGGTGGACTCTCTTCGCAAGCTTCTCACTGAATCCAACGCTGGCAATTGGGCCTAACAAAAATTCAGCAAGGCACCTCCCAGTTTGCCATTTCATACCAGGCCCATTTTATTTCTTTTTAATTTCTTTATTTAATTATTGGTTTTTTTAATTACTTTACAAAAATCATTGATTTTTTTAAATCACAAAAATCATAAAACATTAGAATTAGGTTTTCTTTTTCTTAAAATAATTAATTTCATTAATTGATTAGATTAGTTTAAATTAGGATAATTTAATTCCCTTTTCATAATTAAAATCAATTAGAGACTAGTTTTAATTTGCAAAAATTAATTATTTTCTCAAATAAAAAATGCAAAAATATTTTTCTTCTAAATCAATTAGATTCGTTAAACTTTAATTCCTCGTATTTAATTTCATCACGCGTATTCCTTTCATTATTTTTTCCAATTAATGTAATTGCTCCGAGGTTTGTAATAGTTAAAGTTAGGATATTTACTACTTTTATTTCCCCAGTTTTGGTTATGTAATTCTCATCCCCCAAAGCCTTGTAATAGTTAGACTCTAAATTTCTCGCACTTTATTTTCTGCTATTAATTAAACTGTTAGATGATTGATAATAGGATTGTATGCGAAAGATAAATCAATGTTTAAAACAGTAGAAAACCCTAACTGTGCAAAGATAAACAAACTGAAATCAAACACTTGCACATGCTCACTCCTAGGGTTTTCCCCACTTCGATTGCCTTTGGAAAACGGTCACTATTCTTGAAACGTGAGAATTTTTAGTGGTTGTCCTCTAATTCAAAAGATCACTAGTCCCTCGATGACCATTTCGATGTTTCCTCGGTAAAAAAGTGATCTTAGAGTTTTAGGACAATTACTAAGAGATCTTGCCATGTTGTCGTAAGTGACCGTAATCGTCCCTTTCGATTTTCCCTCAAACTCCAATGGTGGAGCTACCTACTCCTTAATAGAAGGATAACATTATCTAAAGGAAATAAGAAAATGAACAGTCTTTTTCAAGTAGGCAGAAACTCTTAAAGACTTTCTCAAAACAAATCAACTTTTTACACCCTACACTTTCACACTCTTTTCAACTAAAGTTTTCAAAAACACTTTATCACACTCTTGGGGACTGATACAAGAGTTACCATAAAGTGAAACACCGCACTAATGCAATTTCAAAACTTTCTTAAAGCACACAAACACACAAAAGCAATTTAAGAATGAGAAAGTACCTAAGAGCCCATGGAAAACCATGGATAGAAAGGATGCTAATACCTTCCCTTTCTATAATCTACCCCGTACTCAAAAATATCTCGAAAAATGTTTTTTCTGTTCTTTTCCCTTTTCCTTTGTTGGATGAAATAAAAGACAGTGGTGACTCTTGCTTACCGTACATTTGCGAACAAAAAACGCAAAAATAGTAGTAACAAAAAACAGTCAGTTTTGCCACCGTATCATAGTTCAGTTTAAATCAACCAACAATTTATCCTAATTCATTTCCAGTAGACTTATTTCTCTAGTTTGGTTAATTCGACCCTAATATTTTTCTGATTCGTTTGCAGTTAAAGATAATTCAAGACCTCTACTATTTCAG